CTTTTCCCACAGTTTGGTTTCCTCTCCTAGCTGAGTTGTCTCAGTTTATCTCCGGAGCTGTAGCAGGGCTGGGGCAAAAAGCTGCTGCAGCTGTGCAGAGAAGCCGCAGTCGGTCTCCCTCTGCAGTGCTTCCTGGCGTCCTAGAATTTTAAAGGAGCCGAACGAGTAGCAAGCCACTGCCGTTCCCCCATCAGAGTTGTAGGGTTCAGCTAATCCTGCCTGTGCAGCTTTCCTTATGGGAACTCCCCAATCCCCAATTCTCCCTCGGTTATGTTCCTTCTAGTGAGTCCAGGGCGTTCTCATTTGGGTTGAAACTCGTAGGCGGTAAGTCTATAGTCCGTTTTTGTATAATCCCGTGCGAGTTTGGATGAGGGGTCTCGGCGTCTTTACTCTGCCACCATCTTGCCCTTTCCTGAGCTGGTTGAGCTGGTCCTCAGCAGCGTTGCTGGCGCCCAGGTGCTCCAAATGGGTCTGTAGTTTCAGTGGTTTTTCCCTGTGCCCAGGTGTTGCGGGTCAGATCTGCAGTCTTTCCTCAGCCTGGGCTCCACTCACTGAGCTGAGCCGTCCCCCTTCACCTCCAGGGTTTAGCGTAGGGCAAAGCGGCTCCTGCAGCCCGCTGAACTTCCAGGCGCCTGGGTTTTCCAGGGCGTTCCCTTATTGAACTCCCCAGTCGCCGATTCCCCCTCCATATCTACCTTCTAGTGGGTCCAATACTCGTAGTATTCAAGTCTATAGTCCGTTTCGTCCTCAATTCCTGTGCAAGCCTGGATGTTGGGTCCTTTGCCTGGACAGACCTCCCCACCTCCCCCACAGAATCATATGCACACTATTGTGTGGAAACAAATTCTGGCGTCCTAGAATTTTAAAGGAGCCGAGCTGGAACAGAAAAACAGGAGGCATGAAGTGTTCCTGCCTTGGTTTGCTACCTTGTGTTTACATGACTGTTCTTTGACCCCCATGTTTTTGTCATATGTTATTGACGCACTTGCTGAGAGCTTCTGCTTACCCCCAGCCCCAGGCTCCATGTTGAAGGGTATAAATAGGGAAGGAGAGAAGAATAAAGTGTGCCTTTGCTTGCTGACCAAGAAGTGTGTTTTAATCCTGATGTCCTTCGCTCAGACCATCTCTGCTGTCGTGCTGGCGCGGCACCTGGACTCAGTGATTTCAGCGTCTTTACTCGGCCGCCATCTTTATCCATTCCTCAGTAAATTCCCTTGCTGCCCTGTGTCACCCCCACCTTCCCACCTTCCAGGGCCACAAGATATGGGGCCACAATTGTGGTCCATAAGTACCTGAGTCAGGTCAAGGGAGGTGTCCACCCCAGCTGTGTCTGTGCTCGGACCACCCACCATTTGGAGCCTTCCCCCCAATCATATCTGGGAGCCAGAACCTGGTTTTCTGCCTCTTCTTCCCTTTCCTGGGTCAAGCCTCCCAGTGGGCAGAGTCATCAGAATCTGGACATGAGCCTGGAATCAGAAGTGCTTTAATGCTTAACAACCCCTCCGCATGGCCAGGACACCTCCGAAATGCAAGAGCCCCCAGAGGCAGCTGGTGGTCCAGCTTAACTGACCTCATGTCCAATGCTGTAGACTTAGCTCAGGTATCACCTACCGATAACAACTCAGCACCTAAAAGTGCTGTTGGTTCCTGACCTTGGATGAGCTAGTGAGTCACTTCTGCTTCAAGCACCAAGACACCCCTGGTCCCCATCATATGCCAGGGAGCTGCCTAGCTTCCTGCCTGAGTCTCAGTTTTAAGGTGTTCTGGTCCCTGCATGTTTTCATTCATTCACCTGTTTATTGCCTAGCTCCTGTGTGCCACACAATTATTCTAGGCAATCTGGGATTTTCAAACCAATTCAAGCAAAAGCTTTCCCTTGTGGAGTTC